TATCTCCACGAAGTCTTGCCATTATTGTAATGCTGCCTGAAAGGCAGTGGAAACACCCTTAACCCTCAACTTTACTTCCCAATTTAAAGACTGGCTTTTAGATCACCTCATCTAATGTTTTACAAGAAGCTGAAACAGAATACATTTGCTATTTCCAGTAGGGTCTGGGGCAGGAAATAGACCATATATAAAATACGGCCTTAGTATCCAGGTCTGAATAGTGAATGATCCTTACTAATGGCCAACAGGGGGCGACTCCTCATGGTTGCAAAATATATGAAAGATTATAAAAAGGTCTGTCAGAAAATGACAACACTCCCTATTTGATTTATGGCCTTATTAATGTTGCAGTGTAGAAAATGTTCACCACTAGATATCAGTAGATTATGGATTTCTTTCTGTAGAGTTGTATTTTCTTATCTCTGATAAATTGAGTCCATAAATATAGATATGGTGGCAAAAACATTACATTTAGACCGTAGATCATAACGGCTGTGGCCGGCATCTTTCTGCTAGTGTTTACAGTGGATCCAGATCTGCCCCACAATTTTTCCCCCCCATCTACAGAAGGCTGTCAGTCCACAGTTTACCTCAGCTGTCAATGCCGGGCGAGAATTCAGTATTCAAATATGGTAGGTTAACATGGCGGCTCCCACAAACCGCAAACTCACTCCAAATCTATTAATGCACGCACATCTATTAATAGACGCACAAGACGTGCGTCTATTAATAGATGTGTGTAACTGTGTCTATTTATGAGTACAATATCCTTTTTCCATTAAATGCCCTCAAAAAATTACTGACTGTACCTTCAAGCATTTTCCTGAGTATATAAGCTCCTGAGTTAAATGTCTATGTAATATAACATGATTTTGTTTCATTTGATAGAGCAGATTTACAATACTGTTACCTTGGTTACACTGTAACTGACCTTTGAGCATACAGTGTCATCGTTTTCTCATTCAGATCCACCTCTTACTTGTCACATCCATCACAAAATAAACCCAAAAAAACCAAGATGATAACTGCACTTCAATCCACAAACCAATTTGGCTGACATACAAGGCAAAAATACAAATCTCTTTTACACTCTGTGGAGCAGGATGAAGGTTAGGGAAGTTAAAACTACTCAAACTAATTTAAAACACTAAGATTTCTCAGATGAAAGGAAAATCAAGGTAATCTAGAAGGACTGGGAGAAAAGAATCACTTCCTGTGGTGTTCAGGTGATGTTTTGCCAACTTTAAAAGTCAGGGAGAAAAAAAATATGCAAGAGCAGACTGAGATCAATGGACAAAAAAAAAAAAAAAAGTCAAGTCATTTCTATCTCAGAGTAACTGGCAGATTTGGAGGGAGAGAAAGATCCAAACTTTCCAAAAACACTCTTTAGGTAAGTCTGATATCTGTTGTCAGATTTGTAGATGAAAGATCTACTAATGACAGCTCAACTTTGCTGTTAGAAATGTGTCAATATGGGAGGATATCGTTTTCAAAGGCCCAACTTTGTTCCACCGAACAAAAACATCTCTCTGAGGAGGCTGAAAAAGTTCAGTAGAGTTACCTTTAACTTTTTTTAAAGCTGTTGTGTAATGCAAAGACTCTTTGTCTGACACAGAGGCGATAAATGAAGGATTCTGTTGTGAAAAACAGTCAGTACTCCAATCAGGGGACAATTCAGATGCAAGTTACATAATTGCAGGGGGGGGCTCCAATACACGCAAGTCAGAACAGGCTGCGCCGCTCTCCCTTTTTCAGACGAGCGATAATTTTGTATGTAAATGTCGCCAGCCCTGGCAGAGCAGAGGAAACAGATCCAGAGTGATTCTGAGGGTGAACCTTCCTGAAATTTTCCATTCACAGATAACAATGCACAGACAAGCGCACGCTCAGAAAACAATAACACATGAGCTCATGCAGCTGCCATCTGATCGGTGCCACTGACTGTGCAATAGACAGGAGAGGCTACAGCACCTTCCTCAAGATATGGTGTGAGCAAAACTTTATTGTTCCATGCTTTGCTGCCGCGCTTCACATGTGAGACACATCTCAACAATAGCGTCTCATCTTGCTTCAGGCACACTAAAGTGTTTACCAGAGAGACCTCTTATTTATTTCTTCTCTCCCGACAGATCTCATTACAGCAAATTAAAGAAAATCTACTATGTGGTTGTAGTACTATTTGTTCTATGGTAATGCACTCATTCTGGATGAGACGAGAGAATGTACGGCTAATCTAGACGTGACTGACAAAGCTAAAATACTTACTAGTTGCAAAGACAGTGCAAAAAGAACCAAAAATAAGTGCAGCCACCCAAGTAAGAAGGCAACCGTCCACTTTCTGCAGTAAACCTTCCATAACTGTAAGAAATAAAAAAAATTGAATCTGATTTCACCAAGACAGATTTGATTTCTCTGCCGTAACATACATGTGCATAACAAAGAGTTACTTTGTTTTTAACCACACTAATGCTGTGAAATAGCTACAAGACTGCCAAAGCCAAAACTTGCTCATTTAAACTTTTGAACCATCTGGAGCAACAATAGCACTGATTCAGGCTCCCGTTTTTGGCTGCATGAAAATAAAAGTGTTACATTTGTGCTAAAAAGGAAAAACGATGTTATTCTATTAGTAAAGGCTCGAGCCTCTCTGGAGAATTAGGTGAGATATAGCTTGGCTTTTATTCTGTTTGCACCACTGCAAATACACAAGATCCTCACTCACAAGCAATGAAGGCTCAGATGTCTAGTTGCACTATTTGCACACCTGCACAATCTGACATCACAAAGACTTGGTACTAGAAGGGTGGCGGTTTAAAGGCCGGTTAATATGAGTCAGGTGACGTATAGAAAAGTTCAGGGCTACAGTGCTCTGCAGTGTGTGAAAGCAGCTTCATACTCTTCTTCCAAAGAGTCGAAGTAAACTAAACAATGGGCTGAATTCATTGCAGAAGTACGCGGTGTATTATATTCTAGCTCAATAGAATATAACACACCACCTTTCATTTGAGGAATGAAAGTATTTCCTTTTTGGTTTAACACAAGGTGGACAACAAGTAGCTTCTGAAGCAGTCTGCTAACACGGTGCAGCAAAAAATACTGAAATATGTGCACCTGGTTACACTGCATGTAAACATGTAGCTGATTTTACATGTCATCAGATTTAATTAGCTATTTTATTTTTACTTCATCTCACAAGCTACATACGTACATGCAGTGACCACTTCATTAGGTACACTTCCTAGTACTGGCTTTGGACTACTTTTTGCCTTCAGAACATCCTGAATTCTTTGTGGCATAAATCCAACAAAGAGCTGGAAACATTCACATGATAGCATCACACAGTTGATGCAAATTTGTCAGCTGCACATTCGTGATGCACATCCTGTTGGACCGCATCCTAAAGGTGCACTGCTGGATTGAGGTCTGGTGACTATGGAGGCCATTTGAGTGCAGTGAACTCTCTGTAAATCTCAAGAAACCAGTTTGAGATGATTTAAGCTTTGTGACATGGTGTGTTTTCCTGCTGGAAGCAGCCATCAGAAGATTCAATTCAATTCCTACAGCACCAAATCACAACAACAGTCACCCTGCAATAATTCAGAAAAAACCCCAACAATCAGACAACTAAGCACTTGGCGACACTGGGACGGAAAAAGAAAATTGCACCTAACCTCTATTGTCCAACTGTGGTGACCCCGTGCAAACTGTAACATAATTTGAAAATGCCGAAAACTGCTTGGTTTAAACTTCAGCAATCCCCCTTGATCATGTCTGCACAAGTAAATGCACTTGTTGTTTCCCTACGATTTGTTTATCAGCTATTTGCATTCCCAAGCAACTGAACAGGTGCAGCCAACGAAGTGGCCGGTGAGCATATGTTGTTCTTCTTACTGCATATGCATCTTATTTAACCCTACAAGCTAATGAAAGCTCTTTTTTTTCCCAAATGAAACAGAAGTGGGAATGTAACTTCAGTACTGCTGACTTTACCCGTCTGTGTCACCGTAACAATCTGCAGCCTGTGTGTAAAAGTTTTTTGTGCAAGGAGCTTGCACTTAGCCACAGAGATCAAGGCAAAGCGTGTTTTCGTGTGCCTTTGTACTTAAACTCGATGCACGTGTGCATGCATGCGTGTGCGCGATCTCTTTGGAGGAGTGAATGACACAGAGTGGAGACTTCAAAGCATCTCTTTCATCAGCTGGAGCGAAGACGTACAAAGCAGGCACCTACACACTGCATTCGTCTCGTTCTCACGCTCAGGTCCAGCTTTGTCCGTCTCTTACTATAGAAGAGATGGAGCACAAACAACATTAAGTCTCAGTGAGCGAGAGCCACCCACGTGTTTTCCTGAACTATCCTCACTTTAGAAACTTCTGCATCACATCCACTGCAGAGTAAATCACATAGTAATCACTAGAACCTTGCAGTTCAAACACTGCAAGCACTATGTACAGTGATCCAGAGAAGCAGCAAAGTGAACAAACACACTGCTGGAGGGCACAGAGTGGCAAAAAAATAAATAAAGACAAAGTAGTTATGCAGTGCAGAAAAACTAACAGACTTCAAGCTTTTTCTTGGTTGCTAATAAGAAAAAACACACATGCGGGCAGAGTGCCCAAACAGGGTGGAATTCATCAGGTTCGCGATGAACTGCAAGCTTCCCAGCTTTGATGGTGAAATGTGAGAGCAGCATCACTTTGTGAATATTTCCGCCAAACTGTCAACTGACAAACTCAAACTTCTTCTTAGGAACACACAAACATGAGCGGCAGCACACAGCTTGTTGTTGCCAGGACTAAAAATAATGCTACCAGAAGAGAAGTTCTCCTATGAGCGATGCAGAAGAGATGTCAAAAATTAGAAAAGAGGAAATGCCACGGATTATATGAGTATTAATGCCCTGCCAGCGAGTTTTTATCTAAACTAACATTGTGTACATGAGGTTGAAAATGCTGCATGGTGAGCTTTTTTTCTTTTTTAGCAGTTGTAGTATTTATTACCCCTGCTGGCAGACGGCCTGGTGCGGCTGCGTGACCGGCTCCGCTGACGCTGCAGTCGGGATTTGCCCAGGAATCTGTAGTAGTATGAGGGTCTCCCAGATCCCTTCCTTGTAACTCCAGCCATGGTGTGATTTCCCACTCCGAATCCGACACAAAAAATATGAACAGCACTAAAATCCAAGTCCTCCTGAGGTGCTACCAGCGCAGAAAAATGTGAGGAGAGGTTTTCATGGATCACAACTCAAATTTATGACAAAATTTCACTCAGGAGTCCTCTTGGAGACATTCACATCTACTCAAGTCCTCATTGGTAGTGTCAGAACAAAATCCCCACCACTGTGAAACCATTTCCCTCTGAAGAAAGAGAACATTAATCCATCGAACATTTACTTCAGCTCCAATACTTGTGTCTTGTCCCACAAGCTCAGGTTACTGCTCTGAACCTCTGAGCACTCCCCCTCCTCAAAGTTTCCCACACAAAGATCCCAAAGGCATGATGTCCGGAATAGTGTGAGCGTGTATCCTGAATGACAGGAAAGCTGTTCCTGCTCCCAGTGCAAGAGTGCACTAAAGGAATTTTAGAGACAGTCACAAAGCCAGTTCCTCACATTCAAACAGGAGCGAAGGAGAATTTGTCACACAGCTTTACAGTCAAAACAACTGTCCTCACCCCCTGAAACTCAAATCCTGTGAGTGTAGAGAAGACAACATGCTATGTGGCTGAGAACAACAGGGGGAAAAAGTTTGGGATGCCTAGAAAACAGGCAAAGCCTTCAGTGGAATGGAGTTAACAAGCCAGCTATTAGATCACAGCAGGTTTCAGTTCCCTCCCACAATCAAACTAAAGCTGCTGTAGACACACAGACAAGACAAACTGGAGCGGGAAGCAACACTTGCTAATAAAACGTCACAACCTTTGACATTCAGTGGCTCCGGATCCAGTTTTTTCAGTCATGTTCCAGGTTTTACACTTCAGCCACTAATTTGCCTCCTTAGGCAAAAAAAAGCATGCCTGGGAGTGACAGCCTATCAGAAGCAAATGTAAATAAGCTATAAAGAGTGATAAAGCAGCCAATCACTGCATGCTATGAAGAAGACGGCCTATAGTCCACATCTAAATACAATGGAACAAATGCAGACATGTGTGCACATTAGGGCTTAGTTATGGAAGTGCTTTTAGCTTCTTCCTGACTTCACATAAGGCTAATTCATACAAAAAAAAAACTTGCTCCAGAGCTGGATTTTCTGGAGAAGCCAGTCCTGAAAGCTGATTTACTTCAAATAACTGTTAGTTGCTGAGACACCCCTTGAAAATAAGTATTTTTGTTGAATACCTTACAGAGCTCTTGAGATCTTGGCGTGACTCCAAAAACGTAGATGATGTAATGTGTTTAAATAAAACAGGTTTCACCTGTCACTTCACAGGAAATTTCTAATACTCATTTTCTGATGTTGGGTACGGTTTCTAAGCAGATCTAACTGCGTGCTTGTTAAAATATGTTTAAAAGAGACTACAGTGAGTCCCAACAAAGTCCACTGATTTCTCCTCTAGCCCCTTTAAGGCTGTCCCGTTGTGAAGCACAGCACAGTTTCCAGCGCTCCTATTCCAGTCATGTTTTGGCCAGTTGGACTTCCATCTCATCCACTTTGTCAAAACAGCCACCCAGCAACCTGAATTTTATTTGGGTGAGTCAATGGGAGCAAACAGGTTGGGTGATGAGCAAAGACTGCACTGGTGTGGGAAAAAAAAAAAAACTCCCTGGGACATGGCCACGGTGTAGATAGTCTGTGGTAAACGTCCTGCCTGCAAGCCCATACTCAGGTTTATATGCCATGATTTCTTCCACTAAAGACTGCTGCTTGGAGTCTGTCTCTAAGCTGGGAATCAGACTTTTGTCCCCAGTTATGATCCTCTGAATGAAAGCTGGGTTACTTTGACAAATCTATGGTTAAACTGCATTGATTTTCAAGTCGTCAGAGCAAGCTGAAGTAGCGGGAACGTTCATGGATAAAGCTCAGCTGATATAGGATTTTTAAGAACAATACAGATACTGATATGTGTGAATTTTAAAATCCAATATTCTAATATATTGGCTAATATTTTTTTTCAGACGCACAAAACATAAACAGATTTCATTGTTTATTTGCTTGTTTATACACTTGCGCTGTCATTTTAACTGTCGATATCTATCAGCTGACTTTCAAGAGGAATAGTGGCCGAATTCCCAAACTTTTTCACTGTAGCCATCTAATTACAAATTGAAGGCAGAACCCCCCCAAAAATAAATAAATAAATAATAAAATTCAGCTCCACTCATGTAAAACAGCTATTAGATCCAGCTGGAAACTGACTAAAAATTCACAAGTTAAGTTAAACTTATTACCAAAAAAGACACTTATAAAAATCAAGATATCTAATCAGAAACACAATCATAAACAGCTCAAAAAAGGTCAATTTTATACATTCTTGTAATCAAAGTCTGCCATGGTTTCCAAGATGAACGGATTTCTGTGTTGATTGTACCTAATCAAAGTCTTCCTCTCTTTTTCTCTCATACTCGCGCTCTGCAATACATTTCCTTCCTTCAGTGGCTGCTCAATTGTTCACTGTGATGCTGCTTGTTGCTAGTGAGAGCAGTGGGGACCATAACGCTGCATGCTGTGAAGAGTTTTTGTCATTACCCCAGTCCATAAACTCCCATCGACACAATATAGCAGTGTGTGTTTGTGCCTGTATGTCTTATAACATAGAGTAGGCATTCCCGAGGTCCCACAGAGCGTATTTAGCAAGCATACATCACTCAGTATCAAGCCAGAGCCTCCTGCTGCAAAGCAGGAGAAATGCATTGCCTCCAGGTTTTGCATTGCTGCCACTGAGCTCATGAGAAACAAAAACCCCTGAAGAGTGTACATATTTTCTGTACTTTTAAAGGTGAAAGCAGCAATAACCACACAACACGCAAAGTCTTAAAAACCTAGTCTGTAAGGTTACTGAACTCATATGGCAGTTGAGTGTTATTCATACACACAAAAGCGGCGCGTGTAAGGCCGGACCGCTTTCTTTTTTATTTGAAAGCAGATTGATCTTGCCAGCATGATAGTCGCTGTGGGAATAGCTACCTACAATGAGTTCTTGTTTGACCAGCCAGGAGTTTATAGACAGCCAGTCCAGGGTCAGGAAGAGTTCGTGTACAGCTGGTGGCTCCCCTCTGCCTCGATGACAAACACACCAGTGGGCAGTCAAAGGGCCAAAAGGAAGAAAGGCCAAGAAAAAAGTAAAGTAAACCACAGGCTTTCATTTTAATGTGTATGCTGGCTAAAAACATTTGCATTATAAAAGGACCAAATAAGCTTTCGCAGGTACTAATGAATATAGCAAACATTGCAAGAATTCAAATTGCTTTTCAAAATAAGACCTCCAGAACAAAATGCTAATAAATCTGAGAATAACAGCTTAAAAAAACAATCAAAGGAGAGTTCCCCCAGCAGCAATATAATTTGGAATTGCAAAGTACTTTTTAATACTAAATGACTACCAAACTATCTATTGTCAACAAAGCTTATAGCATGACTGATCAGGATATGTGCAAGGTTTACTTTTTTTTGTTAATGATCACATAGCTCCTCTTAAGTTCCTGACATGACGTTCAGGTATTCTATCAGACTGAGAGCTGGACTTTGACTGATGCATTGCAACACCTTGGTTCTTTCCTTTTCAAGTCATTCTGATGTGCTTGAGATTGCATGTGCTTTAGCATGACCCAATTTTAGCCAGCTGTTAGCTGCCAGATAGATGGCCTCATATTTGACTCTCGAATTATATACAGAGGCAATACAGAGGTCAGGTCAATGACCATGAGGTGCCCAACTCATCACTTCTCCTCCACCGTGCTTAACCACTGTTATGAGGTGAAATGTGGTGCCGTACATTTTGTCCAAACATCTCCACCTTGGTTTTATCTGTCCAAATAATATCGTTCCTGACGTCTTGTGGTACATTCAGATGTAACTTTGCCATGCTATTTTTAGACAGGGGAGGCTTTCCAAACAATCCACACTGGTTCAGTCTTTTTCTAATTTTACTGTCATGAAATTTAACTGTAGCTCTTGGGTCACTCCTTGTGGCGTTGTATGGACGCATTCCTGCACCAGATCAGTGCTCTTATAGAGGTGGTGAAGTAAATTTGATCAGTAGCACCTGGCTGTTGCTTAAATCTTTTAAAAGCTGAAAAGGTGTACTTAGTTTTTGATAAGACAGGTCTTCATCGGTCTAGAGGACATCTGAGGTCTTATAAAAAAAACAAAACAATAATCAACATATTTTCAAGTTGTGATGAATTTTCTTCCAATTGCTCTACGAAAACTAAAATCTGCAGTGCAGTTTATTGGAAGTTTTCGATTACTTGGGGCTAGGTGTTAGTTGGTTTTGGTCATTCTAGCTCACAGTAACATGAAATCTAAAAACTGCCTGCTCTATTTACCTTACTTGAACATTCAAATATGCACTATAGAGATAATACAGATGTGCAAGTTTCTTTACAGTCTTTTTGACAGCCTTTCCTCAAACCCAAGAATCACTAGGAGTTATTTAAGTGACTATTTTCCAGTCAGTCAGCCACGTGAATTGATTATTCTCAAGAGCAGCAGAGTGGAAAAGGCTTTTTAAATAAAAAAAAAAGTCCTGCAGTGTACAGACAGAGTAATGACTCAATCTATCATGATAAATGTATTGCACTGACTGTACTGACTGTACAAGCCATTTAGGGCAGTGAGAAAGAATTAAGCAAGAGTCAAAATGGTGTCTGCAGGTGGAGTCCTGCAAAACCTTTTAGCCTTTTAGTGCCTGCTCCACTCGACTTGACTTGTTTTCAGTCATTTTCCTTTACAAACTCGTACAACGTAATGTGCTTATGGTTGTTACAGCATGCGACTGAAAGTCTTGCGACATCATTTCTATGAGACACGAACGCCACAGCAACGGGTATCGAGGCGCTGGTATACGTGCTGGTCAGTCTAAGGCTTTTTGTCAGACTCAAGGACCACCATGTTGTTTTTTGTGTAGCTATTTCCTGAATTTTCAGGTTTCAAAATTAGCGGCCTGGATTTTTGTGAAGGAGAAGCTCTCATGACTCAACAAGTGATACTACTGACTAGCCAATCAGTGACATGCAGTCTGCTGACGTCACATTTTCGAATCGCCTCAGATCACTTGGAACCCCAGTCGAGTAGGCACTAAAAAAGTACCTGGTACCAAGTACTACCACCTAATGGAAAACCCTAAAAGCTGTGCCAAGCAGACCCAAGTAGGTACTCCTGGAAAAAGGCTATTAGTGTTCTTGTGTTCGACTAACGAATAATGGGCTCAACAAGATTTGATGTAAGAGGGTGTATTACAGTAAATAAGGGTAAATTATTCGATTTATTCAAACACAACAGCAAAATCCTTTAGAAAATGAAGTAGAAGATGCCTGAATGGTACCTGAGAGAAACAGAAGTGAAAACACCACATGGGGAATGTGAAGTCAGTGTGACCTGTTGAACTGACCACATTGTATCCAAGATAGAAGAACAGTAGAAGTTTGTCCAACTAGCACTAAAGACTAATGTTTCACTCTGTTTCTTTACAAGTTTCTGCTTTTGTCTAACTCTGACTTCACAAGAGTATTTTACTTGAGAGGGTGTAATTAGCAAGGTGTACTCAACCTAAACCATCAGTGTTAAGATGGTAAGAGCAATGACATTTCAGAGTTCTGAAAGTGAGACCTAAAACCCAGAGAGGCACTAAGTGAGCCTGTTGTTCTCTAAAATACTGCTGCTCTGAAGATGGAACTAATTCCACTTTCCGCACAAAACAAAAAGACAAAGGGAGACGTATTGATTCTCAACACAGCTCACTCTATTGTCTCCACACGGATACAGGGTCGAACACAGAAAAGGGGAGCACAGTGGCCATTACTGCTCAAATACAGCCAGCCATTAAAAGCGAAACATCTCAGACAGAGTCACAGGGATTAGACAGCTCTAAGAAAGCGTAAAGATTCAAGGACTGAGTGTCTCGTTCATCTGGAAATTGAGAAATGCATTAGTATGGATTACAAGCAGTGGATAGGCCGAAACTGATGGCTACTGCTACTGCTGCTGGAGTCTCCTTGGGCAGATCATAGCTTCCCCTCTAAAAGACAGCTTGACTTTATTATATGTAATAAAGTCACGATGGATTTGGTGTAAACAGCAACAAACTCGTCCTACAAGTAAGGGAGTACGTTTATTTATACAGCACTTATCAAAAGCAACAAGAACAAAAGTCACAAGCTGCTCTACAATATCAAGTAAGATACAGCAATGAAAACAGTATAAATGGACAAAACTAAATAATAGCAGGCAGGTCTTCAGCTTCTTTTTAAAGCGATCAGCAACGTCCACATTCTCATAAGCCACGGTCTCATTTTGTGTTCAGCCTGAACCCAGCTACTGCCAACAAGCACTGATCAGATAGCAAGGAGCACATTGCGTATCATTTGTCTTCCTCTATATCTCTCTTCCGAATAAAGGCTAACAATGTACAGTTATATACAGGCCTGTGGCATTACTGACTCACTACGTTTTCTCTTAAAATGGACATTAAAATTTTTTTAATGTTGCCAAAATATTTTCATAATTCTGTTTTCCTATAAAAATAGTTATGTTATCCAAATATTATGAAAAGTGCATGTTTTTATTTATAATGGAGTCAGTATGTATACAATACTTAATTACGATTCAGTTAAACAGTAGATCATAATTGTATCAACACTGACCCCTACTGGAAAACATGGTAATGTACAACTCGGTGACACTGACAACAGTCTATTTGTGCCACGGTGTAGGAAAAACTCAAATGCTGCATACTTTTATGACAGACTTTTAAACACAGTATCAGCCTTTGGTTAAACATATAAGTAAATAAACTATTGTTTACCATGATATGCAGGATTCATGTCCAGGACTGTAATCATGAAACAGCAGAGAGACGGGGAACCGTGAAACCATCTCAACCTACTCATACTCTTTATTGTTCCATGCAGAGGGTAATTAAGTTAGCCGATCCAAATTTTCTCTTTGAACACATTCAACCTACCCCTGTATGCTGCTATAGTGACAGACTACTTACATCTATCTATGCGTTCTTTTCTTCCTCCTCTTATTCATGCCTCCCACTCCCTCTTGGCCAGAGAGTAAAAGGCCAAACTGCAGAATGTCCTGTCCCAAGCAGAGCTCATTATACAAGCCTAGAGACAGAAAGAGAACAGGCGAGCCTGTGTGATACCGTTGGCCAGAGACAAACAGATATGCGAGATGGAGGGGGAGGAGAGGAGAGGAGATGAACTCCTCTTAAGCTTTGATTAGAGGAAGAGCGCAAATCAGCAGTGACGAAGGGAGAGAGATGAGAGGGAGCCTTCGCTTATGAAACAGCTACTTGAGAAAAGCACAGAGGGACCTTTGACAGTGTTGTCTTCAAATGTAATATTAAAATGCCACAAAGGGCACATGCACAGTCATATCCATTATGTAAAGTAACAAGCAGCTGCTTTGAAAGTCCTTCCAGAGGCAAGTCTCGCTGCTCGGCAGCTTTCGTGGTAACACCTTTGAGCAGTTATTTTGAAGCCTTTATTAAATGAATGAGGAGAGAGGCATTTGAAAAAACAAAGAACACTACACAACACAAAACTATGGCTTAATTCAGCCCTGGAGAACAGCCTGCCATGGTTTTACGAAATCCTCTCACAGATTTATGTCTCTGTCTGAGGTTTCTTCCTGTTGAAAGGGAGTTTTTCCCCTCCCACTGTCATCAAGGTCTTGTTCAAAGTAGGCCTCTGATTGTTGGGGTTTTCTCTCTAATATTGTTGGATCTTTACTATACAATATAAAGTGCCGTGGGATGAGTGTTGTTGTGGTTTGGTGCTATATAAATAAAACTGAATTAAGACTAAATTGGGTTTTAAAGTGAGATCAGCAGTGAAATCCATGCTTTTATTACAACTCAACTGGTACTCCCATTTTATCCTCACTGCTCACGGCTGCCTGTCCATTTTAGAGTTAATTTTAAAATTCTTTTATTTGTTTTTGCAGATCACAAATTGTGGAACAATAGTGACCATTAGAAATTAGAAAGGTCTCCTCAATGTCGATATTTTTAAATCTAGTCTGAACACCCACCTGGCTTTAAACCCATTATAGAATTGTTAATTTTATTATATTGTTTACTGTTATTGTATTTTTATTTTTAGTATTTATACTTTTTCTTGTTTAAGATTCAGCACTTTGGTCAGTGCTAGCTGTTTTTAAAGTGCCTTATAAATAAAGTTGGCTTGGCTGAATGGGACTGGATATTTCAAAGTTGCTTTGCTCCAGAAATACTAGATGGTCAAAGTATTTAATAAAATTTTTATTAGGTATAAAAAAAACAATTGGCTGCATAGCTCAGCTATGTTAGGATACCACCCGCCACAAACCAGGGCTGCAATCCCAGTACACAGCAGCGGCTCTGTCTGCTAATAAACTATTTAAAAAACTGAGCAGATGACTACTGTGCAAACTAGGTTCTAGGTTCAAAAGAGAAAAAACAATACAAGAATCAACTTAACTTCTTAAACTTGCTAAACTGCATCAGGGCACTCAGCGGTAAAGCAATTAACTCAAACTAAAAGGTTGATTTTACTGCTCTGTGTGACTAATCACCAGATTAACTTGCATTATTTGCAACAGTGTTTCGTTTTACTGTTTATGTCCTTTACAGGGTTTTATCACCATGTTATCATCTTCATTTGATAATGTCTCTGACTGTAGTAGGCGGCACTCAGGGGGATCATTTTGTGTGGAAAAAGAGTCATATGACCCGTGAAATGCCCATTTTTATGTGAAGCCACACGGACCCGACAGCAGAAAGCCCGACTTAACAGAGAAAGTCCATTGTGATACTCTTTATTTTTGACCAGTGTTTTAGTTTTTGAGGATTTGTGCATCTGTTTATTAATACTTGCGACAGTGTACTCGACTGTGTCTCCAAAAAGTGCTTTTTTTTTTTTTAAATACCTACTGTGAATATTAAAAAAGCCCCTGAAAATTTATAATTACATGACAGATTCACTTCGAAACTATTAAATCTAATAAATCTGAAAGTAAACTTTCAAAGAATAAAAACAAAACTGAAAAGAGCAAACTCACTCTGGAAACTAACTGAAATGAAACTAAACTGAAAAAAGGAAAGAAAATTCTAATAACTGGAAAGCACAAAACTAAAATAACTCTGGTTCTGCAGTACTTTGAGTAAGAAAGTGGTATTATAGCCTGATCACAATGTTACATTCTGCACAGCTGCTTAGATGACAGCCTTTATGGAACATGTTGTGTTCCATTTGAGCAGGATCAGGCGCCTGCTGATCAACTTATTAGCATACTGTCATTATACTGGAGGCTTCCCTCCTGACCACCTCACTCTTTTACTATTCTGTCCTTCCTATACCAACATGCAGGTTGACAGTAAATGAACACAGTCGTGCACGGCTGTGTGCAACGCATATCAAAGAGACAATGTAAGGATTAGAGTATGAAAAGCCCATACTCTGCTGTTGATGTTTAAGCGAACGCTTACATAGCAAAATCTGTTCCAATCGAGCCATAGACTGCTGGTCAGATTCTAGCAACCCGCTAACTCACAAGTACAAACACATCTCCATCAACTCCACTGAGATTTTACTCAAGCAAATGGGATCAATCCTTTGTGGAAAAATGCATGTTCTAAGCATGACGCACAGACACATAATACATGTTAAGCTTGCCACAGGTTTTCACTTTCCATCTCCTTTTAGCAATTTCTTATATAATCCAGATGGAAAAGTCCCCTTTAAATGTCAAATACCACGCTGTTCCTGCAGGAAGGGAATGGAAGAATAAAAGTCCTCAAATAAATAAATAAATAATCATGTCATTATAAAGGCTTAAAAAAAAATCGCCATTCACATAAAAACACAAATGAACACAAAGCAAACCAATCCGAACCTTCTTCTCTGTGCTGTACTCTCTTCAGATGTCACAGACTCAAGTCTACCTCATCTACACATCAACTCTGGAGTTCTTTCTTTGACCTAAAACTCTGTATGTGTGGACAAAAGGCTAAAACAATTGGAAAGGATAATATATATGTATAAGTGTTTTCAGAGCCAGTTTTAGAGCGCTTCAAGCAAACACTATTGAGGTTTTGCAATCACATGACAACAAACCACACAACTAAATTGTCTGCTATTTCGGATGTGTGAGAATGTAGGGTTGGGTGAATAAGGCCCCAATAACACGGGTCTAGAGACCAGCAAGTGACTTCCTGGCAACCACCAGTGATTGAAAAATGTGCATTCAGTGATTGGTGGCCTTGAAAGTACAATTTTTCTGAAAGTTTTTTAGCTGCAGCGTTGGCGAACAACCTTAAACTTGAAGGTAAAAGTTCTCTGTTTCCACTTTGAGTTGCAATATTTCAAGTTTTAATACTGCTTTGTTATTAGTTGGCAAGCGTTTGCAGACAAGTTGCCATCTTCCATCTAAGCTACACGCCACCAAAGCAATCTGCTAGCGACCAGGGTAATGGTAGTTCACTAAAACTAAACTACAAACTAAAAGACACAATATGACAAAAATAAAACACTAAACTTCTGGAAAAAAAACAACTAATACAGTTTTGTGAACCACAAGATGTTCACAAGACTGAGACTCAACTGCTTTCATAAAATTATGTTCTTGTTTTTTTATTGGTATTATATACACCAGTGCTGATTTTACTAAAATGTACTAAATTTTACTAAATCTTGCCTCTGAAACTAACACTTTAATAAAGTGTTAGTAATAAAAACTAAACTAAAACAAAAAAGAGACTCAATAAAACTAAACTGAATTAAAAATAAAAAGTCAAAATGAAATTAAAATAAAAACGAATTAGAAAATACAAATCTATTACTCTGCAACCGATTTCACCTGGCAACAACCACCAGCAACCACTTGTCAACCTTGCGACATTTAGTTTATACAACTCTTGATGAATGTGTGCTTGGTGCCGCATGAGAAACTTCTATACTAAATAAACCGAACAATATACCATTAAAAGCTTGTGGTTGGAACTTAACTTCAAAGCAAACATTTGAACTTTCATTTGAACATGATGTACTGAAAGCTTGTTCATTCTGATGTCAAACAGTATACAAAAAAGTGTTGTCAGTCTTCTTGCTTCACAGCTATCAACCAAGGTAGCTAAATTATGCATACACACTTCTAAAATAGCATACACGACATTTTCTTTCTTGTCAGGAATCTATAATTCTCTTTTCTCTGACAAGACCAGCTCTAGAGACAGAAAACATTAGAGGACAGGCAGAGCCAGGAAGTTGGATTTTTTGGGTAGAGAAACATGTCATTACAGAAGCAGAACTGTATTGCTTCAAATTATCCTCCTCAAAAACGCTATTCCTCAGCTTTTTATTGCTCTTTTCCTAACTTTGCCCTTGCAATAAAAAAGCATTTTCTCACTTCTCCTTTAATTACTCACTTTCTCTTTGCTCTCATTCACATTTAGCCTCTGCACAGAACTCTACTTAAATAAAGCTTAAAGAAGACCAATAAAATCTTTATGTGTCTCGTACTTTATTTAATTCCACTTCACATTCTTCATATTGGAATGCGTGGAATTCAGTCACAGCCCATGTAAGGGTCACTGCTATCCATTCAGTCACAGAGGCTCCATTGTCATATGAACAATAGGCATAATTTGTTAAACGGCCATGTGGAATTTAAGTGGTCCACAGAGGGAGGTTACGGAGGTCACTAGAGATTTGGCAGCGATACCCAGGGGTAGTGCTTCTCTATCCATAAACCACTGACCTTTGATGTGTGCAAATGTGCCAACCGTTAATGGGTCTCTCACCTGCATCTGGCATGCAATCACCCACTTTCTTCTCCAACTGTGGCGGCTACAATGAGTCGGTGCACTGCAAGAATTTGTATGCATGAACACTGAGCCTAGACTTTGTTGAGGCGGTCCTCTTAAAGCACAAGCAAAGGCCCACAAGCTGTGCCGCCCAATCAAGCTGACTTACATCAATGGGTCAATAACACTTGGACAGGGGATACGCTACCAGTTATGTTGCCCCTGAATTCAAACAAACCATACCCCCCGCCCATACATAGGAGAATTGGCTCTAAAGTGTTAGCACCCCCGCATTTAGGCCCACATGTGTACTTTATACAGGCCTGGGCTGTATTAAGCTCCAGAAAACAGACGACAATCAACTGGGAACAGTCAAAGATTTTCTCCCAGAGGGGTTTTGGATATTATAACTGCAAAGTCACCAGAGAAAGTCATATGCACAAGTTAAACAAAACTCACAGAACATTTGAAGGAACACAGTGTCTCGCACAGCGCACAGACTCCAGTGGTGTTGCTGCTGGGTGCTGAACAGTACAGATGGAGGTGTTCCTCACTCCGAGCTCGAGCAAGAGTTCCCACATTTTTTTTTGCTTGATGCTTATCAAAAAGGGAAAAAAAAAGAAAAAGGGAAGCTGCTGAAGAAGCCTGAAGAGCAATTGAACATAGCAAAAAAAAGTTTCTAAAAAATGCAGCAAATATCAATATCAACAGAGAAGATGAGGTCGTGCATATTTTCTCATGATCTAAGCGGGTGGCCTTGTAACTTTTATGCCTGCGACTTCTATCTGACACAAGAGCCATCAGTGTAAATTAAAGATAACAACTGTGACATATTTGTATCTAAAATGACTACCTTACAAGTCCTAAACAACAGAATGAGTGTTGCTTTGTTCTCTTTGCATAGACAGAGAAAGGAATGGAAGAGCAACAGGAACATGAGCTTCACAGCGTTTGGAGCATTTTTGCTGGGCTCATTTTTGAAGAAGGGTTACTAAAAAGTGTTATTTCTGGTTTTTTAAAAAAAAAAAAAAAAAAAAAAAAAAAAAGGTGAACTGCAGAGCGACGATCAGGTCTGACAGTGAGAGATGCCACGGGGCCAAGATGATATTTAGATAGGTAGATGTTTGTCACAGTTGTTTTTTTTTGTCTGTTTGGGGGGGGGGGGGTAATTTTATTTTTTTAAGTGAACCCCCAGTATACAATATTTTTTTAAAAATCCAAAGAAGCACAGCTTTGAATTTCAAACCTGATAGCCACTGCTCCCTTTTACTTCATTCTAACTAATGACAAGGTAGAAGAGGAGTTTAGCATTAAAAGTAAGTTAGAAAATAAAGAATAACACTAAATTTTTTCTAAAGGTGCTGACTTTGCTTCATTAGTTCCCTTTCTTTTTAAAATCTAAACTTTTTAGGATTCCCAAAGAAAACAATCCTGAAAGATTATATCTCATAGTCTCACACAAATTAAAACAAAAGACTAAAGAAGTGCATCTTATCCACTAAAAAAAAGAAAAAAGGATAAGGCCAAATATTTATCCAAGAGTTAACAGCAGGCAAACATCACATTAAAGCCTGCGAACATATAATACATAGCTTAACAATGTAGAAAGGTATGCGGTGGGGCATTCCACTGTGCAGTCCTGATGTGCAAACATCGAAAAATTACCCTCACCTGTAACCTCTTCACAAAATCACTATCTATAGCTGTGAGGTAGCATAACATAAACAGCAAGGAAGGTGATAAGTGGACATCATCAGCATACTAGTAAAGTTTCTTTTAAGGATACTTTATTTCTGGCATCTCCATTCTACTATGAAACAACCAACCTGGTAGGCAAAAATCCCAATTGCTTTATACAGGACTTTACACACACCTGAACCTCATTAGTCTCTACCATCGAAAAAAATAGGTCAGACCAAACAATACGATTCTAAACAAAGGACAGGAATAAGATTATGCATGAAATTAACAAACACATTTACTCAGCTAAATGGTTTGGAAAGTAAAACACGGCATACAATACAACTCAAAAGACTATAAAGAAAATAAACGATACTATACAAAATGAAAAACCCTTCATTTGGTTACACCCAGTGATGCAATATATGACCTCATGACCCTATATAAGCAGGAAGTACTGGGGCAGCCCTTCTCACACACCTGGTTTAGATATAGGACCTGATTAAAGGAAAAACATGGTAAGTATAACCAAAGCAACATAAAGCAACATAGTTTACCAGGCATTTGCCCGTGAACAGAAGAAAATTCAAATGACCTAATGGTTAATAGTATTTGCTTAAAAAAACATATGCATGGATGTAATGGATGCAACTACCACAAAAAAAAATCTGGGTAGTATGTTAAGCAAAGTTAAACCAGCAATGTATAAATTAAAGCATTAGGGTTGACTGTAAAATAACAAGGAATAAACTATCAATATGGTTAAGGGACAAGTGGTAAATGAGTTCATGCCTAACCACTTTGTCACAATAGCATGTAAAGGAACACCTGGATGTGCTGTTTTGCTAAACAACAGATAATGATAGATGAAGACAAAAATGGACTTTAGCAACAATTTTCAGAGTACTTGAAGAGAGAAAAAGAAGCAGTATTCGATTAAAGAACACCGCCTTGCCAGCTGTTTATATTCTGCTTTGGGGTTATGGGGCAGATGGTGGAAAAACACATTATACAGGATGGCTTATTCCAGAATTCATTATATAAGCTATATGCTATTAGAATGACTTACAATACCCCTGCACCAAAAATGTCTGTAATTTCCCAAGGGGTGTCCAAGCTTTTGCATAAAATCAGAAGTCTGCTCTTCAGCTGACTCAAATTCAGACTTTGTGGACAATAAAACCCATTTGGTGTCAATGAAAATCCCGTATATTCTCCTCTGGCTTCACAAGGAACAGCATAAATATTACATTGAATACACTGGAGGTCAGAATAAATGCTCCCTGACCTTCTAAAGATCACATTTACCAGTATATTTTCTTATATGTGGCATATTATTTTGCATGGACCCACGGCTCCATTATATCACTCTTACGGTTTACCTTACATAGCTCCAAACCTGTACCTCCTCCTGTGGGTCCTTGTGTATCTGAGAAATCAATATAAAATTTCGCTGTACCATATCACTCCTCTCTCCATATATCTTTATGTTTATAACAACCCATATGCCTGCAGCACACGCAGCAAACTTGGCAACTGTGAGATTTACTCTGAGTTGTGTGAAGGTATTGTACTCCAGAGCCTTACATAATTTATCATTTTGATCTGTATTCAGTACAAATTCACAGCAGGGTATTTCTGGGCTCCCCTGCAGGGCTAAACGAAATGTACTGAGATCCAATGGCAAAGTAAGAGAATGTATAAAACAGAAAATATCCTCAGTTCCTCTTCAATTAACCCTGATTAACATCAAAATGAATCCACCTTCCCATCGGTTGGAGCACTACTTTGTAATAATGAGAAAAAACATAAACATAAGGTCTGTTTAATATCAGCACGGTGGCACCAACAAATGCAACCAATGAGGAAGTGCAGTTCCTTTTATTGCAGCTTGAGAAATTGATCAGTTCCACACTTTATAAAAGACAGCTCCATGTTTTAAAGCTTTAATGGTAGCATGTCTGAATTACCAAATTATTGATAAAAAAAGAAAGAAATCAATACATGTACTAAGTCCCCTAGCTGTATATTTTTTGGTGGCTATCACCGACCATACTATAATGATGGTATTTCATAGTTTGTCTTTAAAATAGTGATGTATACTTTTTTTTTTAAAATGACGTTAACGCCATAACCGCATTAACGCGGGAACTCTCCATTAGCAAGTTAACACGGATCGCCCTATGCGCGGTTAGCTCGTTAATGCGTTAGCACATTAGCGCAGTTAGCTTGTTAACGCATCAGCGCCGTGCAGCCCCACGCACGGGGCGCTTCGCGTTAACTCGCTAATGGAGATTTGCCGCGTTAATGCGGTTATGCCGTTAATGTCATTTTAACGAGATTAACACTGACAGCACTACTTTAAAACTCAACAGGTTTCTATGTAGCTTGACTGTGTAGCTTGCAAAGAAGATGACTAGCAAAACTAGCAAAAACCCACCATACAGGATGGGTTTTTGTTAGATTTGGTAGCTCTCATTTGTGATACCGCCATATAGAGCAGGGCGATATGACCAAAAATATTTATCACGATATACATTTGAAAATTTGCAATAACAATATAACTGACGATATAATTGACACTAGACAAAATACTTTTAGAACTCCACAACTTTATTAGTGCAAAAAAAACAAAAACCCATCAATGTATTTTCACTTTAATGCACATAAAAAAAATAGCTGCTTGTTTAAGTTATATAAAAATTTAACAGTGCAAATGCAAATTCCTTGCTGACAGTTTAACCAAAAGGCATTTCCAGTGGAAATTGGCCAACATATCCTCAGCACAACCATGTATAATATCCACAAAACTTAAAAAGAGGTTATACACACACAATACGGTAATATTATGTTGAAGCACAGTGCGTATCACTCTGCAAGGTACCTGCATACGATAGCCGTAATGCCCATCAAGCGGTGCAGGTTCGTAGCTTAGCAAAGTCGTACTAAAACATTTTCCAGCGCTGTGTACCACATAAAATCATTTCGAGGTCAGTAAACACAACCAGAATTCATACATAGGGCACACGGGATTATAAGGGGCACTGTCGATTTTCAGAAAAATCAAAGGATTGATTTTAAGTGTGCCGTATTTTCCAAAAAACATCCCGCTAGCATGCGCTACCAAAAATAGTGCTTTGTTGTGTATCTGACGGACGAAAGCTAAACCAGTTCCACACCACTGAAGTTGCAGCATCTTTAAAAACCAATTCCGGTTCATCCGTTTCTTTTAACGATCCGGTTTCGCCCTTCTTATTCTCTGTCGCCAGCACGCTTTTTACGCCGTTTGCATATGAAAACAAAGGCACTGCGCATGCGCGTTTTACCCATATTTTATCACGATATTTCATTTTCTTATCATTGCCCGACATTATACCGGTATTATCGTGAACGGTATGATATGGCCCAGCCCTACCGCCATACCAATCTTTGTCTTTTTCAACTCCAGAGATGGTCTCATAGACTCTGATGTTGAAATGCCTAAACTTAAGATGTTTATAAGCCTAGAACAGAGAAACAGCTGTGGACTCCACGGCAAGTTTCCCATTCATAACAACTGGGAGGTTTTTGTTTTCATTACACAATCACTACACAAGAAGACTTCCAAGAGCACTTGGAAGAATACTGGTTTGATTTACTTGTAATTTATGATATTGTGGTTAATCCTGGTTCATATGACTTGATCAGCAGTATATATTTTTATAAAAAGTCCCTGGAATGAAAGAAAGATTTACCGAGAAGTAAGTGTTCACAGTTGCTGGCAGTATAAAAGTTGATCTTGTGCTATATATTTAGTTTAGAAACCAGCACGAAACTGTTCTGTTTGTAAAATCAAGTGTAACAGCAAGCTTGTAAAAGAAATCTACAAACCAGATAGACCAAAAGAAAGTGTTTGTTTTTGTTGGGCAAAACCTTAAAGCTTTAACAGCTGATCAATGTGAGCATCACCTTTTCAATTTCCTGTTGTGTGGAAAGAGAGCTGTCCAAAAAGAAAATGTGCCTTCTGATCTCAGTCACTTTCAGTGAGGCGCACTGTAGGCAACACAGCTAGTGGAATCTGTCAACAAGTCTAAACACACACAGATGCATGGAAGAAAACACATTAAGCAAAAAGCAAAATCAAAAAAACCCATTGAAACAGACATTTAAATTATGTTTCCCATAATTTGCCCATAAAAGCGTAGGCATCCGACTGATCAGCACCATTTCTGTGTGGGAATCCACATCCCAGCTTATAAACAATGATCTCTCGAGTCTCGCTCTCCAGCACACACACATGTGGGTGTATTTGCGCATCCTTCCGCTGATGAAATGGTACTTGTTAGAAA